TTTCAGCATAACTGTTCCAAGCTCCACAGCAACAAACTCTGAGCACACAATGGCTTTTCCAGCCCAAAGCTCCAAACACTTCTGCAGTCCTCCCAAAAACACTAAGATCAGGTCTGTCCCAGCACTATCCCACTCTCTGGCACCAATTTCTGTCTTAGTTTGTTTCTCCATTGCTGTGACAAAACACTCTGACCAATACCAACTTGTGGAGGAAAGGGTTTATTTAGCTTACGTATCCCGGGTCACAGTTCATCTGGGAGCCCAAGGTGGGAACTCAGGGCAGGAACCTGGAGGCAGGAGCTAGAGCACAGGCCATAGAGGAACACTTCTTACTGGCTTGCTCCTCTGGCCCCTACTCAGCCTGCTTTCTTATGCAACATAGGCCCACCTGCCCAGGGGTAGCGCCACCCACAGTGGGCTGGACCCTTCTACATCACTCAACAATCAAGAAGGTTCCCCATGGATGTGGCCACAGGCCAATCCAATGAAGACAATTCCCCAATTGAGGTTCCCTCAACCCAGGTGTGTCAAGTTGACACTAAAGCTATCCAGCACAGACTGTTAACAAGAATATTAGCTGTAATATACACAATATCAGAAACTGAAACATGAACAGTGGACTTGAACTATTAGATCCATTTCTCTAAATTTCAATATATTGACACTAGGAGATTCTAGTGAATTTGATATTTGTGAAGACTAATTCTCACAGAAACAACCCCTGGCTTATGTTAATTTTTTTCATGTGGTTTTTGTTTGCTTATTTGAGACAGGGTCTCACTATATAGCCAGCCCTCTGGTCTAGTACTCTTCGATGTAGACCAGGCTGACCTTGAACTTATGGAGATTAACCTGTTTCTCCCTCCTTAGTGCTGGGATTAAAGGCATGCACCACCAATCCCTTCACATGTTCTTTTCACAATCAGGATTTTGTTTGAGCTAAAAATATGTTAAACATACATGGTCATTCTCAGGGACAAATAGGCCAATATTTTGCATGCACATGCATGTTCATATATGGACTTGGGCAAATGCATGCTGTGGTGTATGTGTGGATGTCAGAGGACAATCTCAGGTGTCAGTCCTGCCCTTCACCTTGTTTAAGACAGTCTATCTTTGTTTGCTGCTACATATACCAGATCTCCGACCTCACCGCCACAGGGCCACTGCAATTACAAATGCATACCTCTCTCAGCTTTATAGAACTGGGGATTTGAACTCAGGTTCTCCTGCTTTCACAGCAAAGATCTTTACCCACTGAGCATCTTGCCAGCCTGAGGCTAAGATTTTAATGCGCAGTTTCCCATATTATAACCAAGCAAAAGATTCAGTTTACATTTTTGTAGTCTTTAACTCCAGATGCTTTTCTTTTTAAAGACATCCAATATGATATTAATTTTTTTTTTCTTTGAAAAGTCCAGGTTCCAGGGCTGGAGTTCCAGGGCTCACTGATTAAGAGCACTGACTGCTTTTACAGAGGACCCAGGTTCGATTCCCAGCATCCACATGGTGGCCAACAACCGTCTGTAACTCCAGTTCCAGGGGATTAGACGCCCTCTTCTGACCTCTGTGGGCATTGTGTAGAATGGGTACACCTACCTACATGCAGGCAATACATAACATACATATAAAATAAAAGTAATAAATAATAAAAATAATTTAAAAAAAAAGTTTAAGAGAAGTCCAAGTTCCTGGATGTGTTGGTGTAGGCCTGTGATCTTAGCATGTAGGAGGTAGAGGCAGGAGGATCACAAGTTCAAGGCTAACGAGCTACATGGTGCGAAAACAAGACAAAATTTTTTTAGCTTAAAAAATTCAGTTTCATTAAGATTGAAGATTGTTATCTATCCTCATTTTTCCCTGATTTTTTAAATACTTCTTATATATTACTGCTGCTTTTATTATCAAATCAACAGCCTGCCCTCCTACCTTCCTGTTCTGAATGCTGGCATGCATTTTGACATGATGGGGATGCCATAGTCTAAGCACACTTTCAATCTGTCTCTGAGCAACTTTCCTAGCTTTTCTTGAAGCTAATGTAAGTAGCACATTTTTAAAAACTTTCTTCTTTTTTAATGGTTTTATTGATTTTTCCATTTCAACATTATGCCTGAGCCAACTTATCTTTGTGGATTCCAGTGTGGCAGGACTTGGGGGTCTTTGCCACCAATGACTTATTCAAATATTTTCATCATGGAAGTTGTCAGTCCAGTTCAGTGCAGTGCAATATCTTTCTGGATTGGCCAGATGTTTCTGATACTTTGGATTTTTGCTCAAATTCTGTTCCTGCCACAAAGGCATTGGCTGTGCATTCTGGCCATTTCTTGGTCCCTCCCTTTCCAGCTGTCATCAGACTTGGAAAAGAAGAGTGAGCTGAGATAGCACCGAGGGACCAGCAACTTTGAAGCCTTGTTTCCAGGGCCACCGGACACTGTTTTATCTTCTTGGCATTTATTGGCCTGCTTTGTAATTCTTTCCTTTGCATTCCCATGCAGTTTCCCACACTGCCAAGCTGCATCACATGCCTCTGTGTAGTGGTTTGCCTGAGGCTAAATTTATATAAATTGTGTGTATCACTCAAGAGCATCTCTAGTTTCTTGAGTTTAAACTTCACCCATAATGTTCTTTCCCTCCCTCCCTTCCTCCCTCGCCTCCTTCCTTGCATCCCTCCTTCCCTCCTTCCTTCCCTCCTTCCTTCCCTCCTTTTTTTTTTCTTCCAGATAGCGTCTCAAATATGCAGCCCAGGCTGGTTCCTCTTGCCTCAGCTTCCCCTGTGCTGGGATTACAGGCATATTCTACTCCACTCAGCCGTAATCTCAAGTTTAGTTTGTTCTTTCTTCACTAAAAAAAGACATTTCAGTCCACTAGCTTGCGTTGCTTGATCAAGTTTTACTGTTTTGTGAAAATCATTCAAGGACTGTTGCCCATCTCCCCTTCAAGATATTACTGATTTTCTTTGTTGATTTGTACAAGTTCTTGTTTAAAGAATTTCTCACATATAAAGGGTATTTGACTATTTAAAAAACGTTTTTGTTTTCTTTTAGCTTCTAATTCAGCATCTATCTTTTGTGTGTATATAATTATAACATTTAAAAATATCCAGGAGTGAGCTTTCCCTATTGTTCTTTCTTGCACTGCTTTTATGCATTCAAAGCCCTCTTCCTTTCCAGAGATGGGAGGAATATTACTTCTGTTTGCAACCACTATCATTTCTTTACAGGAACTTGATCAACTATTATTCTGCAAATATATTTTTGGATAAAAGAATTCATCCCATTAAAAGAATTGCAATGTAGGATTTTTAGTGTCCCATTAATTCCCAAATGTTGACAAGTTGTATTTTACATCTTCATAGGACAACCTAGGTCCTAATTGAGGAGCAGGGAGAGGGGTGTGTTCTACCAAAGACCCACTTCGAAGACTTCTTCCTAGCACAACAACGGTTTGTTTTACAGTTCAGTTAATTGCATCCTTACCTCGGCTTTGACTGTCTCTGTGTGTCCAGGACCTGAAATTTGAAGTCTTGAAACCTCTTTTTTAGGAACTCAAAATATTTGCTTCCTCTCCTTAGCTGAGTACTTTGCAGCTGCCTCTGGATACAGGCTTGTTCTATTGCTCCTGTTCTGGAGGATGTCTTTATGTCATTGTAGAAATGTGTGTGTGTGTGTGTGTGTGTGTGTGTGTGTTCTGATTCTTTTTTTGAATTTCATTTTATGTGTATGAGTGTATTGCCTGCATGTGTGTAATAAGTGCACCCATGTTGTGCAACGCCTGCAGAGTCAGAAGACAGCATCAGATCCCCTGGAACTGGAGTTACTGACGGTTGTTAGCTGCCATGTGAGTGCTGGGATTCGAACCTTGGTCCTCTGGAAGAGCAGTCAGCGCTCTTAACCTCTGAGCCATCTCTCCAGCCTGTAGCTTGATTCTTAAGAATTCTTTCCAACAAGTAAGATGCTCTTTTCCCCCTCCATCAAGTACAAGGGCGCCCAATGGGAGCCACTGCTTTATTTAGGGACTAGAGACCATGGACTTCTTGGTGACTGTCTAAATGATGGTAATGAAGAGCAGGTGGCCACTGCACGGTTTGAAGATCTTAGACTGGAGCCTTCGAGGATGCCTAATCTAAAGAATTCTGGGGTCTTTCTTTTCTTTTCCTCTGGCTTCTTTCTCAAAAGCCTTACAGAGACATACTTTTTCTTTTGAACCTTGGGGAGGGGATTCATGGCCACTGCACCTCACCACTGATGGCCACCAGAGGGAGCCCTGCTCTCTTCTTCCACCTGTGAGCCAGTGAGGATCTTCTTCCTGAGCCCCCTGGGGATGCTCACGTGCTCCCTAGCATAAGGTGAAAGGCAGCTCAGGCTCAGGGGTGGAAACAGTTGTCATAGCTCACATCTTTAGTCTTATTTTTCAGTGACTTTGAAAAATAGAACATTTTTAAGACTGGAAAAATGGCTCAGTGGTTAAGAGCGTGTATTGCTCTTGCAGACAGAGGACCCAAGTTCAGTTTCGAGAACACTTAAAATTTTTAATAATTTAATTTTTTATTTATCTTGGTGTGCATGTGTTCTCTCTCTCGCTCGCTCACTCTGTGTTAATGCAGGCACATGTCTGGAGATCAGAGAATAACTTCAAGTGTCAATTCTCACCTCCTACCTTTCTTGAGACTGGGTCTCAATGTTGTTTTCCATCTGCATGTAGGAGGCAGGCTGTATGGCCACAAGCTTCTGGAATCCTTTTGTCTTAACCTCAACTCTTCCTGTAGGACCGCTGGGATTACAAACACTCTTGCTAGCCTGCCCTGCTTTTGAGGATTTTGAGGATTAAACTCAGGTCCTTATACTTGTGAGACAAGTGCTTTTATCTACTAAGCCATCACCTCAGCCTCAGAACATGTTAAAACAGCGTTTTTGTAGAATATCTCCTTTGTAATATCTGGGATTCCAAGAGCAGAGTAATTTTGCATGTCTTGAAGTTCCCATGTTTGCAGGGAGGGGAGCTCTCCTGTTGAGGGACCTAAAGAGAGCAACAGAAAGGGGCCTGGCTAGAATGCTCCATGTCTTTGAGAGGCAGCTGTAAAGAATCAGTGCTGTGTGCTACTTTATAGGGAGAAAGCTTTTCTATGGGGAGTTTTAACACTTGCCTTGTTAGGTTCTGTTTTCATTGCTTTGACCAAATGACTGGCACATGGCAACGAGAGGAAGGATTTGCTTTGGCTTATGGTTTGAGGGTCCAGTCGATCACAGCAGGGAAGACATTAGAGCAAAGCCGCTCACAGGAGTGAAGACAAGAACACGAGGTTGTTTGCATACATCTGTGTGGATCAGGAAGTAGAGGCTAGACAGGAAGCAAGACCGAGGTATTAACTTTAAGGCCGTCCCCCACTGACCCATTTCTTCCAGAAAGCTTCCATTTCCAAAAGGTTCTACAACCTCTTAGAACAATGCCACCTATTTGAGACCAGCTGCTCAAACAATGAGCCTGTGGGGACATTTCATATTCAGGCCATAACAGCCTGCATGAAACTGCAGAAACCCTAGGTAATTTAGATGTGGGTGGTCCCAAGCCACCGTTGGGTCTCAGTCTGAGGGGATGTATATATGTATGAGGGGGTTGCTAAAGGGTGGTTGCTGTTTCATCCATAGTATGTATTGATTTTACAATGCTCAGTATCTTGGTAAGGTTTATATTACTTTTCAGTGTTTATATAAGTTGATACTGTCTACAAGATCATAAAGGCATGCTCCTACTTTGAGTAAATAGAAAGCTTTAGAAATCTGTACTAAACAAAGGTTAAATACTACGAAGTTACCCATTTGTAAACCTAGCTCATCATTTTACTAAAGGACCCACCATGGGTTCCACTGTCTATCTGATTTTCCTGAGCAAGGATTTTCCAAGAGTGTCCCTGCCCTCTAAAGAGGAGAAGTTACATGGATTTTCCAGAGCCTGCTGGTTTAGATCTGGTTCTCATTTTTGTTATGAATACCAACAACAAGCTGTGGGTGCACATTCAGTCGATAAGTGTTTCTAACCTTTAGCTGTTGCTGAATGCAAAGGCAGTTTAGAGCCTTCTGCTTTGCTTGTTCCTCTGTAAGCCGGGTCTGACCAGTTCACGATAGAAGCAAGCCCCCATGTCACTTCTCATCGTTCAGATACTGCTGCCTCACTGCCATCCTGTCAGCCTCTTCATGCTGCCTAATGTTTCTCTTGGCTTTCAGGACAATGATCAGGGGACCCTCTATCCTCTCTGGGAAATATGAAAACTTAGGCTCTAGGGCAACAAGGTTTCCTGTGGTATGGACATGGCTTTGCCCTCAAAGACCTGCATTTATGGGGTATCAGATAGTAAAATTCATAGATCTTTTGTCAGGATGAATTTGCTTTCTGTGGAGATGGTCTTCAGGGGCCTCTGCTCCTGTCATGAGAGGTGACACTAAGAGTTCTAGACTCTTGTCTCAGATAACCTCTGAGATGGGCACCATCATCTTGCAGATGAGGCTTGGAGGAAGAAGAAGGTAAGTTGTCCTGGGTTTCAGAGGTAAAACCTAGCATAAGTGAGGCCTTTGAGTGCAAAGCACTCAAAGCAGGTCTAGCATGTGCCCTGGCTTTCAGTGTCACTTAAAAATCTAATCTAATGGTTGACTCTTTTGGTGTGTGTGTGTGTGTGCGTGTGTGTGTGTGTGTATGTGTGTGTGTGTGTGTACATGTAGAGGCCAAAAGACAACCAACCTTGGATGTTGTCCAAGCTCAGGAGCTGTTCACTATGTTTTTGTTTTTTTGTTTTTTTTTTGAGATGGAGTCTCATTGGCCTGAGACTCACTGATTTAGCTAAACTGGCTGGCCAGCAAGTCCCATGGAGCCATGTGTTTCCATCCTCTCAGCACTGCTGGGATTATAAGCAATCTAGGCTTTTTTTTTTTTTAACATGGGGTCTAAGGATCAAACTCAGGTCTTCCTGCTTTACTGACTGAGCTATCTTCCCAGCCCATAATTTACATGTTGACTCTCTGTAAAGTTCTGTCCCTCACCACTACAAAATCTAAGGTGAAAGCAAGCGGCCTCATAGCTTCTCCCCACAACTTATCTGGCCAACAATGTATATCAACGGTGAGTGGGAAGTGTCTAGCGGGTTGTGAGTTGTCTTAACTGGGGAATTGGATTAGTAATTTTAACTCTACGGGGAGATCTAACACAACAGTAAACCACTGTTAAGTACTTTTGCTTTCGGAAATTTTTAGGTTCTTTTGTGGCTGGCTATTGGTGTGTTGAAAGTTTATCTGTTTTCTTTATAGCCCACATAACTGGGTTCATTTGTCGCATTTGAGAGACATTTTAAACTTTTAAAATTTTTGTTTTATGTGTATAAGTGGTTTGCCTGCTTGTATATAGGTGTATTATGTGTGTACAATACCCACAAAGGCCAGAAGAGGACATTGGATCCCCTGGAACTGGAATTTGAGGTGGTTGTTAGCCGCCATGTGGGTGCTGGGAACTGAACCCAGGTCCTATGCAAGAGTAGCCAGTGTGCTTACCTGCTGAGCCATCTCTCCAGCCTGGAGAAAGAAAAAAAAATTATTTTAATGTAGAACATTGGTGATGCTGAGTAGCCATGTGTGAAGTTTGAAGAATTCAAATAAAAGAAGAAAGTATGGTTAGCAAACAATGCTTGGATCTGAAGGAGCCCACGGAACAATATTGTTCTTTCTGGCCTTAGCTTTGAGCCTACTGAGACGCAAAAAAATATTACACACAGAGACTGCAATAACTACTTTATTCTGGGAAACTGAGGTCACAACTACAGCAGAGGTTTCTAATGCTGGCCTTTAGCATCTGGCTCAGACTCCTGTGCCCACAGGACATGAGCAGCACTGACCTGAGGCATGGTCTCTCAGCTCTAGGCTGAGCTGATCCGCAGACAGCTTAGCTCATGGAAGAGCATGACCCAGTTGTGTGTGAGGGGCTGGGCTACTGTTCCAAATTCTCTAGTCAGATAAGCTATGTTATTTGTGCAGTGTTGCAGGTAGGCAGAGGACAGGATGTGGCCAAGACTATGACCCTAAAGAAGATGGAGGAAACCTCAGGAGAAGTGAAGAAACAGGAGTCAAAAGCTAGTCCTTCCTTTGCAATTAATCTGATATTTGTGTTTAGTGCCTGCAAATGTCAACAGGTGTGTAAATTAACTATTGTTCTGTGTATATTTCTAGATTCTTCAATATCAGAACACTAGCTTCTTTGGTGGAGACCATATATCCATGATTGATTATCTCTTCTGGCCCTGGTTTGAGCGGCTGGATGTATATGGACTAGCTGAGTAAGCCATTTGACCATATCATTGCAAATCCACTGAGTAGCAAGGCCTGGGTGCCACTAACTCTCCTCTGGGCTGTCTTAGTATGTTCGTGAAATAAAAATCACGGGTTGGAGTCATTAGTGTGTGCTTCTTTGTCCAAAATGCACATGTGTTCTTCTCCCATGCACCACAGACTCACCTATTATGTATGGCTCTGTGGATAAGACCCTGTGTGCAAAAGGGTCCTGTGGTGCTTCAGAGCCTATTGTCCCCTGTCCACCCACACATAGGTAGAGTAATCTGTAGCTCCCTTCATGGTTCCCACACCTGGTCCTGCTGAATCACCCATACACCTGAGTCCCATCTGTCTTTCCCCAGATAGGAATGCCCTTTACAAAACAGAATATTTTAAAAGTAATCCTTTATATTCATATAAACAAAATAGCAACCACGCATCACAGGGGCGTGGTGCTTGTAAGTGTGCTTAAAGTGTGGCAGGGATAGTTAAAGCTTTGTTATCTCCAAGCTCAGAGGTAACACTGGATGTGTGCTGCTGCTTACTCCAAACTCTGCTAGTCATGTGGAGGGTACTGGATGTTTCTAGTATTTGGAAGTTAGTTCTGTAGATCAGACACAACATGCTTGGATATTTAAACCTTTCATTGGGTAGATTATAAGAGCCCATCTCCTCCCAAGGCAGAGTGGTGAACCTCAGATTAGGAAGACCCCACCATGTGTCCCAGCCTCCCAGGTGTCCTGTGTCTGTTGTCTTCCCTTAACATGTCACTTTACAGGCCCTAGAGATGAATTCCCCTGTTCGTCTTTGAAAGGACCCTATCAGCTCCTTTATTTCATGGGTTCATGATTGTTTTATTTAAAACGTGTTTTGGAAGCTACTTGTTTATATATATATATATATATATATATATATATATATATATAGAGAGAGAGAGAGAGAGAGAGAGAGAGAGAGATTTTTCAAATCCCTTAAAGTAAAATCTGCAAATGGCCCTAGACTGTTCACTTGAGAACAGTCAGTGAGCAATGAAGGCAGACCCTTGGTCCCCCTTGCCTTAGTCCACATGTGTTTCGTGCCCTTGTTTGTAGCAACAATACAATGTTGGAAGTCCTGATACACAGACAACTGTTCCAAAAGTAAGCTGCTTCCTCAGCAAGTGATTAGTAAATGATTATATTACTTGATAATAACTAAGATCACTGTATTTCCCAAATAAACTCATATTTTTGTTTCTTGCGAATCTACAAGATAATAAAAGGCCCCTTTCCCTCTATGTCCCCCTTTCCTGTCTTGCAGCTGTGTGGCTCATACCCCAATGCTACGGATCTGGATAGCCACCATGAAGAAGGACCCTGCAGTCTGTGCCTTGCTCATTGATAAGGGTATTTTTCTGGGCTTCTTGGATCTCTATTTTCAGAACAACCCAAATGCCTTTGATTTTGGGTTATGTGACCCAGACTCACAGTAATTTCTGCACCACCCAGAACTCCCAGCTTGTCTGATTCTGCATCAGGGATTGTCTTGCGGTGGCGGGGGTCGGGGGTCAGTCAGTCTCTGTTCCCTTTTGTTGAAGTTCCTGATAAAAATGGAAATGGAAAACATATTCTGATATCACGCGTTTGACTCTGTTAGTCCATAATTTCGAATGATTCCCTGGAAAGTGCCCAGCGCCAATGTTGGAATACACTTTGGGAGCTGGTGTGATTCCTGCCTTCTTGGCCTCTGGCTGAGTTTGATTCCCAGATTACTGGTGATGGTGACTTTGATGGATATTTTTTACTCCAGCCTCCAAAAGCCTTTTTGGTGAAAAGAAAGCTTGAGAAGATGGGGAAAGAAGAATAAAACACTCTAAGTTGAAATACCTTCCTTTTGGCTGCTGCCCACATGGGCGGGCATGTTCAAACTTTGGCCACAGGCCTGAGAGACACTGAGGGTCTTGTGACTGGAAAGAATTCCAAAGCAGGAAATGAAACACCCATTTATCACCCTGGACTAACTACGTCAGAATCTCACTGGTGCTGTTGGGGTCCAGGATGTCTCACAAAATGTTCTATTAACCAGCATCCTGCCTTAAAAACACCCTCCCCACCAAACCCAGTCACAGGCAAAGGTCACTGCTGGATTTGCGTCACAAACTCAATTTGTCCCAACAGATGCCTCTGGTTACTTGTTGGGTACTAAGTCTGGGACTATGGGGAGGATAATGTGATAAAGACATGGACCCTGGCCCATTGAGACCCCAGTTTTAGCTGTGGTGCCTTGCTTAACTTAGCTTCTCTATAGTACTTCCACCAACTTGGTCAGGCAGTGCTGTACCACCAGACTACAAGAAGGTAGGTAGTAAAGAGCCGAGGGTGGCTGGCATGCCTCCAGATGCTTCCTCTGGAGGAAGCCTGAGACTCTCATGCTGTTTTATGTCAGTGTATCCCTATCAGCCTGTGACCATTTTGGCTTTGCGCACACTGAATAGTCTTTTGGACTCCCAGCACTCCTGGTCATTCGAGAGTTCAAGCAGCAGCAAGTTTTGACTTGTCCATGCCTCTGCTTTGGACTCAGCCCAAACCTTGCTTTCTTCCTGCATCTCACCTGGCTCCATCATCTGACTTAGGACTTATTTTTTTCCATGTAAACAATTACCAGGTGCTACTCCATGCTAGTTGGACAAAAGCAGGCCCGCTTGGTTAAGTGGCCAAGGCCTGCCAGAAAAGGTACCACATTGAGGAGCAGTCTTGTGGTGCCATCTGCTCCAGATGTGGTGCCCTGTTGCCATGACACCCAAGCTACTGCAGAGTGAAGCATGTGAATCACTGTTTCCCTGGGATCTGTGCTTGGAAAGAGAGACTTGTTCCTGTGGTCTGTGCTAGCACCAAAGGGACTGATTAACTTTGCAGGTATGTAGAGAGTCCTTAGCATAGGACCCAGATTGCTGTTGATGCACTAGAAAATGATATATCTCTGGGTTGGCAAGATGAAGGTGTTCCCTTTGGGCTCCACATATTAATTTAGAAAGCTTGAAGAACCAGGAAACAGGACAGAGAAAAGTACTCATGAGGAGAGAGGTTGCAGACTGGTGGCCCACTCTCCGCTTTGGGATTTGAATGCTTTTTTGGGCATGTATAACCTCTGAAGTTTGCCAGGTTTCTTGCAGTACCTTGACCTGACTCCTTCTTGACGGCACCTTCCTGATTCATCCAGGAAACTTGAGTCTCATCTGGTTGAAACCAGGAGGACTTAGCCTGCAGAGAACTCAGCCATATTCCATGAAGAGTTCTTATTGAAGGCTTGGGAAGAAATTACACACACACACACACACACACACACACACACACACACACACGGTGCAATAATGTGTAAACAAGAACTCTTATATGAGCCCATGTCCCATAGAGAACCACTTTTACTACTGGATATATATCTTGTAAGAGGCATTTGAAACCTCAGGATTGTTAGGTGAGAGCTCTATCCCTAGCAGGCTGGCAATCAAGAATTAGTTTAAACAGCAGCATTTAAAAGATCTCGTAGTCACAGATGAATCTAACGTTAGAACTGACAGTCAGAGGATGCTGTGTAGCATTCCCTCCCTGGAGGTACTGAAATGGAGCCCAGTCTAGATAGAGTCCAGATACCTGGAAGCAGCTCCTGGCGCAGAAGGGTATGTGTAGCTGAGCCTGCAGTAATGGTGGTGGGGGATGATGGTGAAATTTATTTGAAATTCTTTCTGGCTCTCAGATTCTCTGATTTCAGCCAACAAATGTGGCTACAAGTGTTAAAAGGGATTTAATCTAAAGTATACATTCATTTCCTGCTGCAGAGCCTGCTGCATGTGGCTGCCATACTGCTCCTTGAAACTTTGCTCTTGGTTGGGGGATGATCTCTCCCATTTCTCACCTTTGGGTCTCCCAGGGTGCACTCATATCCTTTGTCGGAGTCACTGCACACACACTCTCACATACACACGGGGCCTCCTTCTATAGACCAGGCTAGCCTTTAACTCTAGATTCTCCTACCTCAGTTTCCTGAGTGCAGTGATGCCCAGCAGGACTGGCTTTCTTGATGGGGGAGCCTGGGCTGCTCGGTGTCAAGAGCTAAAGGCTACGCTCCTGTGTATCCTTTTGATTGGCTTGTTTTGGTTTCTTTTATTTGAAGTCTTTACAACTAGCCAGATAAGTAGCTCTAAGGTCTTTTCCTTAACTAACCTCCTGCTCCGTCTTCCCAGCATTGTACCAAGGACCCTACCATTCCTGTACAAGACGTGTATCATGGAAAAGAACTGTGGGATGCTCTGCTGTGTCATGCCTCCTACATATCCACTATGACCACAAATCTCTTAGACAGCAATAGCAACCATCGTCCTTGTGCCGTAGGAGTATGCAGGAAAGGCTTGTTCTAGGACCTAGGCACTGAGAGGTCAGAGGGCTTGATGACTGTGCTGAACCTGAAGAAATCCTGAGCAAGAGCAGCCTCCCTCCCAACCTTCCAAGGTGGGGTAAAGAGTAAAGAAGATGGATTGATTGTGGGAACAGCCTTTGATAAATCTGGGTTTAATATAGGTTTATGTTCCTGGGCATTTCTGCTCTAAGAGTTAAGTAAGTGGTAATTATCAGGTTGGATAATCAATTATCAGGTTGACAAATTCAATTATCAGGTTGAACAAGTAGAGTGTGGGGATCCCTCAGATGTCCTGGTGCAGTGTAGTGGTAGCAGAGGCTGCTTAAGCTGGAAGCCAGGGGAAGAGGCTACTGGGGTCCACTGAAGAAGCTCTGTGGAAGCCGTTACCTGAAACCAGCTTCCTGTTGTGGAGGAGAGAACAATATAGTTGTTTACGAGTATTTCCTGCATGTTAGGAACTTCACCTATACTACCTGTTCCTCAAAACCCTATGAGATGAGTAGTAATTGCTCCCATCTTGAAGACAAGTTGAGCCTTTGAGGTATGTGATTTGTCCTGATGTCATAGAGGTGGTAATGTGCAGAGCTGGAGTTTGTACAAGTGCTGACTCTAGAGCCTGTATGCTTAGGCTCTGTGCCTCTCTGCCTTCCAACACAAGTTCTGTCTTTTTCTTGCCCTCCTGCCCTTCCTCTTCTGCTTCCCCCTGGAAGCTTGGAGCTCTCAAGGGAGAATCATGTCCCCTTGACTGTTTTCCTAGCACCTGCCTGGTATACAGGGCCTATAGACAGTAGTGACTGCCATCTGTGTGTTTGCAGAATGAGCACACATGCAGGATGGATTGATGACTGGATGGGTGGGTATGCCTGGACCAGTCCAGCAGCATCTCTTGAGGCTGTCCATTCCTTTCCCCTTTGTTGTCTAAAAGAGAACCCTGTGTCTCTGGAGCAGCAGGGGGACTCTTCCGTGGCTATTTCTGCTTCAGAGAGCCAGTGAGACCAGAAGCATCAAAAAACAAGACCCCTCACTGTTCTCAGAAATTTGTGGCAGACTCATCCAGAGAGGTTCACCAAACATTTCCTAGGCATCTAACACGTCAGCTCTCGGGGAAGTATGGGAGAAATAGATTGTGTGGGCACCACTGTCTATGGTGAAGGGGCCTCCAGGGAAGACAGACTCCCATGTGGGAGGCACTGGACCCACTAAGGGAACCAGGAAGTAGGAATTCAGCTATGTGGAGCTTGTGTGGGCAAGAGGACCAATGGAGCTGGTTTTGACTTCATTCTTCCCGCCCTGAGTGCTCTGCACACACTCTTTCACTTAAATCTTCTCAGTCACATTATTCTCACTTCACATTTGAGGAAATGGAGGCAAAACCCAGGCTTACTGCAATATTGAGACGTGCTGTGCGAGAATGTGGCACAGCTGGAATTGGAACCGTCCCAGCTGTGAGCCCCTGCACTGTCATGGACTCACTGGGAGATGACAGAGCACCCAGTGGACAGGCTGTCTTGTGTGGGCCTCCACACTGGGAGCTGGGTGGAGTCTCTCTGGGTCATTAAATACTCAGCTGAAAAACCTCAGTGCTTGACACTTGGTCCTGATTTGCATGCCTGCAGCTTGTGGGGCTTCCTGTCTGGCCAGATCATAAAATATCACTAAGAACTTGTGGACTGGGCTCCTTAGGACATGTACCAGGCAAAGCTACTGATCTCAGGGGAGCTTGGCTCTGCTTAGGGTATCTGCTGTGGTCTGACTTGGCCCCGATTCCTGGAATGTGGGCATCTATGGGGCTTGTATTGTCTGCTTCATCTTCTCCCACTGGGAGGTCTTGGGGCTGACCTGCATCCTCCAGCGCCCCCAAGGGCCAGTCAGCATTAGCCATGCCTTTTGGAAGAGACAAAGCACCAGTCTCAGTCTTTGGGAGTGCAACGACTGTTCAAGAATGGAGTTGTTCTCCGTCCCTTCTCCAGGAGTAGGTAAGCAGTGAGGCTGGGGCAGACATTCCTAGCTGGATGTGAATCCAGCCAAGAGGGGCTGGAGAGAAAAACAGGAAGTGGGTCTTTGCTTTCTGCTTCTGTTTTAAGTAGTTATCCTAAGAGAAAGCGAAAGTATCACTCACTGACCATGGGCTGTAAAGAAACATCGGCCCAAAGTTCTCCCACCCCCACCCCCAGCTTGCAAATCTCA